CAGTGACACAGGTGAGTGTGCACAGAGCTCAGTCACAGTGACACAGGTGGCACAGTGAGCCCAGGGCTCAGGAGCCACCCCAGCCCCTGGCTGCAGGCTGAGGGTGCTTCAATTTGGTGCATTTTGACCCTTCAAAATTGCAGTTTCCAATGGTTTGATGAAGTGTGGTGGGAGGAGAGAGCCTCTAAATCTGCGTGTTTGTATCAACTGCACATGCAATGAATTCTTAGGAATGTGGCAACTGCAGGGAAGAGTTTTCCACTCAGAGCCCCTTCCGGGGGTCTGAGCAGCAAACCCACCAGTGTTTCTGTGAACCACAACAAGGCACTTCACACCTTAGGAAACACACCCCAAGCATAGAGGTAGTAAAAGATCAGGAGGCCAAATTTTTGTTAACAGTAATTATAAATTATTTGAATTTTTTTGTAATAGATCATCTCCTAGCAGAAGTGTTACCCTCTTTATTACCTTTCTCCAGCTTTTTCTCTGGCAAATGGCTAAGCCAAGAAAACGAAATGATGATCATAGAATCACTTCAAAACATGCAGCAGTTAGTACTCTTGTACTCCTGCTGGGTACACGAGAATGACAATTGAAGCTGACCTCTATGCTGGGGGATTTTCCATTTCTTTAAGGTCACAAAATCAGGGAAATGGCTTCATTTTAAACAAGGGTGAGCACAGAGACGTTCCCATATAAAGGAAGGGAAGCAATTCTTTACACCTATGAATATATGAATATATTGTGACAGGGAAACTTGCTGTACTAACACAAATGGTAACTTATTTTACATCCCCAAACACATTAGGCATGACTAAAGAAATTCCACTTATAAACTTAAAAATAATATTTAATAACACAGAACCACGTGCATCCATACCCACGAGGTAAGAAAACCCTGGACTGAGACTCAGATATAAGTAGCATTTAGATGGCTATGTCCTTACAGCCTCACATCCCTAATAGAAAAAAAAATAAAAATCTCCCAAAACCCCAAATATTGCAAGGTAAATCTTTCAAGTCTGCTTTCCCTGATTCATAGTTTGGCCATTACTCAAACATGCAATGTATAATGCTGATGAGTTAAACATCACATCGCCCATTTTGATTTATTCCTTTCAATTCCCTGGGAATTTTATTTATGTTTATAACCACAAGGTTGGTGGTGCCAATAGAGTCAATCCAGGGATAGATAGTTGAGTGCTTAGACCATTACAGAGAATTACAGTTTATTGATTAGAATACCTATGGAATAACTTAGGTCAAAACTAAAAATGTTACTAAGAAAAATGCCCAGAAGGGATGAAGTTTAGTCTAACCATGTAATCCAGTTTCAGAATTGCTGAAGAGAATACCAGCAGTCGAAAAGGTGAACTCCTACAGTTACTATTTTATTTTAGTGCTTTTCTACAGTCAATAAAAATATTAATATTATTTTATTTCTGCCTTTTATCATTTTTATGTACTGAAATAATATTATCTATGCTGTCCTCAAGACACAGAAGACCAAATCCACCACAGTGTTTCTGTGAACCATAACAAGGCAGTTCACATCTTAGGAAACACACACAGCACAGAGGAAGTAAAAGATCAGGAGGCCAAATTTCAGTTAACAATAATTATAATTTTTTTTTTTTAATAGAACATCTCCTAGCAGAAGATGTTACCCTCTTTATTATCTTTCACCAAAGCAAAAAAAAACCCACTTTATGTGCTCTCTGAATTTCCAGAATATCTGAGCACAAAGAGCACAGACTGGTGCTGTATCACATATCGCTAATTCAAAGCATTTAATCCTGTCTTCCACAAGTCGGCCAAAGCAATACAAATGCCAAAAAATTCCTCTTTGATAGCAGAATTGTATACACTGCACATTATATAAGCCTTCTGTCCCCTTCCACTCGAATGTACACGATCAAATCATCCTGGCCATTACTTTCTATTGAGCAGATGGTATTATGAGATTTTTGATAAAGAACAACAATCACCCAGCAAGGGTTGCAAAGGGGTCGCTGAAACCAAGATTAACAATTGATTAGCTTTAATGGACCGTGACAGTAATAAACAAGAGAGCTCCACACAAAGATTTGATTGTCCTGTTAATGCTGCTGACACAAATGGCCTTTAACTGGCTTCCTCAAAGTGTTAATGTCGCCACAACCTCGGCAAATGAAGGACTTTGTCAAAGTGAGAACTGTCCTGCAGTGAAGAAGCATTTACTGCAGTCCTCTAAAACATCTTCTATAAAGTGTGTTTCTGATTTATTCAGATAATGGTTCCTATTTCTCCAAGGCTTAAAGTTCAACAAAATGAAACGCAGCACACCCCTGCAAGGCTGGTGTATAACAGAACTCTAAAGCATTTGAATACAGAACCCAGCACTCCTCGAATATGCAACAATAATGTGAATTATCATTTTCACTGGGCTTGTTTTACCCTTACTCCAACCTGGGCTGACAGATCTCAGTACCACAGCCTTCTAAACGCAATTTTTTTATGCTTGGTACTGATAAGTTGACTATTTTTTCTCCCCTTCTGCACAGAAATCAGTAATTTGCATCATATTTTCATTAAAATAAAGTGGTTTATGATTACTGGAAGTAACCATGGTAAAATCTGAAAACAGAACTTAACAGATATGTTTATTTCTTAGATATACATATGGGAAAATGTCTACGGAAAAAGTCTCTGTTTCCTTTAATTCTTTAAGCCCAAAATTTAAATAGACTTATGGCAAATATTCACAGAAGGTTTTAAAATTAAAACTAGGTAGAGGGAAAGTAGACAAAACTGCCCCTAACATGACATTGAAGAAACCACGGATATAGGAATTCAATTAAAGGTAAGGAGGTATTTACTCATCTAAGCATTAAGACTTTCTGTTAAACTTCCAAGGTCAGGTTAAATTACTTGGTTTCTAAAATCAACTTTTTTTTTTTTTTTTTAATTATGTGTCTCATTTAAGCAAAGGCTTTTGTTTCAAACATTTTTAGCTGCTCCCTCCCGTGCTATGCCTAAAGGCAACACACGACAGTGGGGCAGCTCTAAGGGCTCCTAGCAAAGAGAAAAGCCAGCGCCTGCTCCAGATACAGATCCAAACACGAACCACTGGCACAAATCAAGGTCATGCTAATCCCATCCCTGTGGGTCCCACCCCATCTGCAAATTGGACTCTGCAGAGCAGCTCCTCACCAGCGGCACAGCACGAGGCTAATTGCTGTGCTTAAAACCCTGACCTACACGGATATGCGAGGGAATTTAAATGAAATCTCTGAAAGACTAAAAGCCACCTGCTTGGTGTCCCAACACAAGCACTAAGTACATAACGTGTCAAAATACTGAGCCGGCCCTCACTGATTCCATTTTCTGCAATCTGCATCCTTCTATTACTCACAGGCTTGGCTTCCTACAGCAGCTCCTCAAGCAAGCTATTGTATAAACCATTACATATTCTCTGATGATAAACATTTAAGAAAGTAATTATTTACTACCTGTAAGTCAGCATCAAATTCATGTTTCAGGTAAGCATCTTCTGCAGCTTCAACAAGACGCTGAAAAAACAAAAAAAAGAGGCGGTTTTGAAATAATGGATAACAACTTTATAGCCTAGTATAAAACAGATTGTTTGAGCATTGTGCAATTTATCTGCTCTCATACTTCATTGAATAGAAATACATGATCCAGATTTTAAAAAGGAAATAACAGACCAAGTTTTTAACCCCCCAGTACCCACTGTTGGTAGTACAAAACTCTAAAAATAGCTCACCAATTAATAAATAAAGAAATTTAAAAGTCCCTTTCTTCACCAGTGCTCAGCTTCCCGTGGCTCCCATTCTGAAATTATTTTTTGAGAACAAAAATAAAGTTGATTTTACATGTACTTTATTTTGCACATAGGAACCCTTTTCAAAACTTCCTTAACATTAAAATAGGAGGTTTTCCCTAATAATGCACTTGATTTCAAGAAACTGACATAAAAATTAATTTCTAAATTACACATCAACTATAAATTATAAGAAAAATAGAGACTAGCTTTGTTTACCAAGCAGACTGAAATACTATTTTAACATGGTACATCATCACAAGATTGTTCTGCAATTACAGAAGTAACATTTACTGAATGGCAGCAATTCTGTAGTATTTTTGCCCTCTTAACAATATCCATAACTCCCTGTAGTAGTTCTTGTTCTTCACCATTATCATCTGACAGGAAAAAAACACCAAAACGCAGCCACCTGAACCATTTAATTCATAGAGGGGTTTGCTGCAAATATCCTATTGGTAAATGACATTATACCCTCTCTAAGGTTTTACTCGGGATTCTTTATACTTCAGAGTATTCTAACCATGGAAGAGACTCCTTCCAGTTTTCATTTAATCTACCTGAACATTCATATAAGTACAAGCCAAAATCAAACAAAGAATACTCTGAGTCTCTTACTTTCTTTGCTCTATCAGACACTGGTACACATCGTGATATTTTCACATCACAAAGCGCGGTCCAGACTCTCATTAACAATACGCAGAGTGGGCAGCCGTGCACACATTTTTTTTTTTTTTCTCCCTTTTCATAACAGTTTGCACATTTATCAAGTCTTTGGATATAAATCAAAATGAAATCAGAATTCATATTGATTGCTATACAGTTTGAGCTCTAATGGAAACTCAACCAAGAAAAATATTTCTGGTTGCCAGCGCAGAACAAATGTCTGAGCCGAGCGGCGGTGGCTGCAGGGAGGGTTTGTGCTCGCTGGGTCTGCAGAGCAGCAGCGAGCCCCAGCCTTGCCTGCCTGCCCCATCCCATCTCCCTCACCCACAGCCAGCCCCAGTCCCAAAAACCCGGGGCAACTCTGCTGGCTTCTGCCCTCCCTGCACGCCCCGTGGGGAGGCTCTCCAGGCTTTGCTTTGGTGCAGAATTACAACCTCAAGCATACAACCAAAAACTGGAAATACTCCTGATAGCTCGGCTGATGCAGAGAAGCAGAAGGGCACCTTCCCACAGCCCTGTGCTGGGAGAACCTCCCTGACATCTGACTGGTGCCAGCTCTAAACATCTTGTCCCACGAAAACCCAGCCTGTCACAGCAAACCCATTTAATCCAAACTGGAACTGAACTGGTTCCAGCACTGGGCAAATCAAACAAGAACCGAACTGGCAAAATGTCTGAGCTCACCTTCCTACATAAAAAAACTCAAAAATAACAACACATCCCAACCTGCTGTAAGAGGGAGATCCATGGAAAAACATTTGAAATGAAACTGAATTTCTGTGTCGTTGGTCCCACTACTCCTGTACTATTTGAATGGTACCAAAACCAGACCTTATAATGTGAAACATTAATGAACGTTCAGTTGAACCACAAATTTTTGTCTTTAGAATCTAAAAAGGGAAGTAACACAAATTTTCTCCTCTGAGGGTAAGCTTTATAGCAACTGAAACAAATCCATACACATTTGAACATTCTCAGAAGCCCATCTTTATTCAGCATGCTATAAGGATTTTACAAATATAGCCTCCATTTTTCAAGCATGAAAAGGCCTTTTATGTAAAATAACTACTCTAATTCAATGCATTACTGCAGATGTGTTTTCCTTTATTATAAAGCCATAGGTGCATTACTACTCTGTGCTCACCTGATACAAAAATTCATGACTGATGAGCTTGAGAGTAAAAAAGTGAAAGGATCAAAAAACTTCTTCATACAGAAAAAAATACAAGGAAAAGAAAACCATGTTTTTCTTTCAGTGCTGAAATACTTACTTAATCATCAAAAGAAAAATTATTATAGTATTTCATAAGATACCAGTGATATTAGATATCAGTACCTAGCAGGCTAGAAAAATAATTCATGGCTTCTTATATAGTTTGTATTGATCCCAATGTGTTTCAATTACATTTTTGCCTCAGTGAAATAAATTTAAACTAAGATTTATCCCACTTGTAAGAAATAACTAGAGAAGCATAAGATTGGCAATAGTAGAAACATCTGGTAACAAGGGCAGCTCAGAAATGAAAAGTACTGCTTGTTATTTTATTGAATTATTCATTAAAATTTCAGTTGTTACTTTTATTTTTGTAATGTACATTTCAGCAACATTCTGTACAAGGAACTCAATGACAAAGAAGTGAAGTGTCTACTGACAGGAATTTTTCCTTGAAGCCATAGAAGCAAATATGTGCTTTGCCCTCACAAAACTAAAAAAAAAAAGTTAAACTTTTGGTACGTTAAATGAAAAAATACAAGGATATGCTGCATTTTCTATGTATCAGTCCTTAACCACAGTTTGTTTTAAGTATCTCAACACCATTATGAAGGAAACCATGGGAAATCTGGGAGAGCTACAGAAAAGGAAAGCCAGTAATAAGCCCAACTCCACAAACTGATATATTAGTGGATATCCACAAATTATATTGGAATGAAGAAATTGAATGCAAATGTTTCATGGGGTTTTGTTGTGTTTGGGGTGGGGGTGGGGAGGTTGGTTGGATTTTTTTTTTTTTTAAAGAGGTCCCCAAAGGGATGAAGCATGATGGAAGAAATTCCTTAACACTCTGCAGGCAAAAACATAAAAACCAAATGTAATACTCCAACTTCTTTATATGGAGGCAAAAAATCCCTTTTAAAATATTTTAATGACTGAGCAGTTATCTAACAATGAGTCTCAACATTAGCATGATTAGCAATTTTAGCTTAATAGTTTATAATGACACTCTTAATAGAAATGCCAATATATTTTCATTTGAGTAACCATACTCTCAAATCCTTGCTGTAGCAAGTAAATGCTTCCCAAGCTGTGGTTATCCTGAAGGGAATTGTGAGTTATCTGCATGCACTTACATGGAATGAATTATGAACACAGAGTGAGAATTGGTACACTCACACCATTCAAGGGTGGTTTTAAGAAAAATTTAGCCCTAAATGTGGAACAGTGTCTGTGTGCTCATGGACAGGCAGGTCAAGGGCAGCACACAATCTTTAGATAAAACAATTATAATGTTCTAAGGCACTGCTCAATTAAGTTCCCCCAGTTCAGGAACTAATTCTTAGAACTTTCCCAATACACGTGAACATGAGAAAGATCAACTGCCTGGCCCAGAATATCACAATGCAACATGGATAAAAACAGGGCATGAAGCTGGAGATGAACAAATAACAATCACAAAAAACCTCACGATGGTCACCAAAACGTAAGGTCAATGTTCTGTGTATTCAGTGGTATTGACATCACAAATAGCATAGAAAAAGTTGAGAGATGAAAAATAAATCTTTGTTACCTCACAGTATTGTTTTTAATAAATCACTGAGCTGTCTCTCAAATTACCCAAAAAGGTAATTTTCTTGACAAATGGTATTATAATTTCAGAGAACTGATATTCCCAGATAAATTCTCTTTCAAGTTAGGTTTTTATAGATAGAGCAAAGGAAAGGTGAAACAGAATGGATGGAGCACAAGAAGAATCCAACAAAAAGTAAGGGGGAAAAGGAACAGAAATAGAGAGGTAACTTGAAAATAAAAGTTGCAAATAACAATTTCAAGAAAAAAACAACACACAAACATCCAGAGGGTAGAGTAGTTGTTTTAGCTTCTGAGATCGTTTCTCTTTTCATGTACTTTATAAGGGTTTCAGATTACTTCTAAATTATTTTCCTTCATTAGAATCCTATTTTGAAGTAAGACTAAATAAATTCATAAGCATAACCAAATTCGAAACAGTTTCTGGACTCCTGAACTGTGGAAGGTTACTAATCTTTATCCATAAATGCTGACTGGAGTTATGCCCTTCTCTCTTTTCAGCTATGAAATCTTAAAATAAAATTAGATTTCATTGTTTCCTTTTGATTTTTCTAACATGAACCAACTGCAACATATAAAACCAGAAATGGCTCTCAATATTGCTCTTTTCAAAACCAAACTGTCACAAATCACAAAAAAGGACAGAACACGTCTCCAATTTAATTATAACTAATATCAGCTGGGTAATAGTATCATCTCAGTCCATAACATAAATAGTTTATATTCCATAATATCAATTTAGTTACACTTCATTCAAAAAATGCGCTGGCATATCACAGTCATTAAAGAAGTGTAGACAAACCTGTTGCCTGTTCTTATATTCCAGCATCAAATGCCTTGAACCAACAGCAAAAAACAGCCCTGAACCCTAAGAAACTTTCTCATTATTTCCCATGGCATCTGATCTGCTTGAGGTTCCTAAAAAACTTGAATATAACTTCAAGATTGATTTGAGATATGTTTTAGAAGAAAAAATAATAATAAGCATTTGTGTCACTTTAACAGGCCTGTCTCTCTGACTCCTTTTTATGGAATTGTAACCAAGATTTCTATCTTAATCAAATATAATGAACTTTGTTAAGAAAAACAGCAGATAACAAGAAAGGCAAACCTATGCCTCTTTTTAAAACCGTATTTCTTTCATATCTTGTAGCAAGGTTTCTGGTACATGACCAACCAAAAACCAGCAGCATTCTGTATGCAGAAACATCAGTTTTATGTGTGCAGAAAATACTTACAACTATCAATAGTTACCC